GTGTTGGATTCTTTCTATCCTGGCTATATGTACATTGTAAGACGGATTCCATATTACTGATGCAAACATCAATTTGTTGTGTATACAGGGTGTCCGCAAAGTTGGGGTTTTCCTTTTCAGAAACAACTACCCTTGAAATAACAAAGGTAATGTTTAGTGAAACGAGGGCGACCAAGTAAAAAAAAATAAAGGAAAAAGTACTCACTCTCCAGTTGACGAGAAGGGCTAAGTACCTCTCTGCCCTAAATCATACCGCTCCAACAGAAAATGAAATCAGCTGATGCGCTACCGATCAGACGCTGGCGGTGGTGCAGACCACGAACAGAGGTAACAAATATGACGGCGTTGTTGCGTTTTCAGTTTTTAGGTAAACGTACCTTATAGGTATTGTTCGAAGTTATCCCCCGAATGAAAGCACCAGCTTGTTCAATTCTGAGACGAAGTTCGTCAACCATATACACTTCAGTTTTGTACACTAAGCGTTTCATTTCTCCCCAAAGAAAAAAATCACATGGTGTTAAGTCTGGAGATCGCGGAGGCCACGCTACGGGTCCATTACGTCCGATCCACCTATTCGGAAATAATTCATTCAAAAACTCACGCACTTCGCGTCTAAAATGGGGCGGTGCAGCATCGTGCAGAAACCACATTGATTGTCTTACACTTAATGGCACATCTTCTAACAAGGAAGGCAAAATGTTGCGTAAAAGTCTAGGTATTACATCCCGTCCAATCAATTTCGGAGAATAGATGGTGCAATGAGCATACCGTTCACCATGCCAGCCCAAACATTCACCGAAAATGTTTGTTGAAAATGTGCCCGACGGACAGCGTGCGGATTTTCTACTGACCAAACATGAGTGTTGCGAAAGTTAGTCACCCCATTACGCGTGAACGTAGATTCGTCTGTCACCAATATGCACTTCAAAAAGTCCGGATTATTGTCATGTTGATGCAACAACCACTCACGAAACCGCACTCTTGCTGGAAAATCGTCAGGTTGAAGGGCGGGTACACGTTGGACGTGAAACGGATACAGCCCCTCTTCACGCAGAGTTTGCCACACTTTAGTTTTTGATACTTGCACTTCTCTAGCCACGTCTCTAGTGCTTGTTGAGGGATTCTCGTCTACGCGATTACCTGTACACACGTGACCGTAACCGTCGGTTGAAGGTTGCATACTGACCTGACACACTGAACCCGACCCAGTTCTGTCGTCGGGTTGAGCCAGTGACCTTGTGCCAGTCGGTGATATCGCGGGTCGCGGCTACAGGACGGTATTCATATATTTTTGATGTTGCAGAGCCCTTTATCTCGGTTCCCTTAAGACATTGGTGTATATGGTACTAAACCCCAACTTTGCGGACACCCTGTATAAGCGTAGTACAATGAAAGCAAGCGTTTTTGGGTTCGTAAATTCTCTGCATGTCCTGTTTATGAAGCTTAGTGTTCTATTTGCATCATTTACGATGTGCTCTACGTGAGTGATGAATGAGAGTTTCTCATCAATGTATACCCCTAGGTCTTTTACTACACGAAGCTTTTCCAGTTGTGCCATCCCTATCTTATATCTGAAATCTATAGTGTTCGCTATGTTTTTAGTAAGCCTCATGTAATGACATTTTGTTAAATTCAGGAAGATACTGTTTTCAGTGCAATAATTTTGCAGAGATTCCAAATCGCTTTGAAGTTTTACACCGTCATTTACATTTCTAACAATAGTAAATATCTTAAGATCATCAGCATATAACAAATATTTACTGAAATGAAAAACAGAAGTAAGGTCGTTCATGTATATGTTAAATAACAATGGTCCTGAGTGACTACCTTGTGGTACGCCTGAAGTTACTAAGAATGTCTCCGAACGATACCCATTGATAGTCACCATTTGTTTACGATTACTTATATACGATGCTAGCCACTGCCATAATGGACCATCTACACCCACCTCAGCAAGTCTCTCCATCAAGATAGAATGATCAATCTTGTCGAAAGCCTTACCGAAGTCGGTATAAATAACATCCACCTACAGTTTCTCATCTATTGCGTGAGAAGCATATTCTATAAAACTCATCAAATTCGTCTCTACAGATCTTTTAGGGAAACATCCATGCTGGTGTTCCGTAATGATATTTTTTGTAATGTTTAAGATAGCATCATAAATCAGCTTTTCAAAAATTTTTGAGAAAATACAAAGTTTAGTGATAGGTCTATAATTTTCCATAAGATGTCTATCGCCTCCTTTATGAATAGGCAATATTTCACCTTCTTTCCATCTCATTCGAAAGACCCTTTGAGTTAATGATAGTTTGAAAATTAGGTGAAGTGGTAAACATAAGCTAGCGGAACAGTTTTTTATAAATACAGGAGGTATGCCGTCAGGGCCTACTGATTTTTTAATTTCTAAGGACACTATTTGTTGATATATTTTTTCAATGAATATTAAGGTAACATCAATAGGACGAGCATTCTTGTTTAAATAAAAATGTTTAGATTTAACAATGATGTCACAAATAGGCAGTTCGTGAAACTGGTAATAAAGGTTTCTTATAACTGTCTTACAACTTGACGGCAATTTTTGGATATGGCTCTGTCTCAAAGATTAAACAATTAGTGAAATTATAGATTCATAGAACAGCGTCGCTAAGCTCCCCAAAAGCTTATTTTGTTCATTTGATTTCCGACTAAATTTCTTTACATAATTCATGTGCTATATTATCATGTTCATAATCAACTTATTTTGTCTTAACCTCGAAGTCCCATTTCAGTCGTGTTGACTTTTACTTCTAGAGTAAATTAGTGAGTTTCAAACTACAATTATGGTATATGAATAACCAAGCGGTTGATAACTTTGAGGGGTTGAAATAGATCTGATACGAACCTCACAATTCCTGACATGTTATTGAAATACTGCATAAAGTTTGAGTATCCTATTATTTTATGAAATTCGAAAAGACGCTTGGTGCCTAAAATAATCGATGAAATAGATCTGATACGAACCTCACAATTCCTGACATGTTATTGAAATACTGCATAAAGTTTGAGTATCCTATTATTTTATGAAATTCAAAAAGACGCTTGGTGCCTAGAATAATACAATACAATGTCATAAAAAATCTACATAATGCCACTGTTCAAGATACGTAATACCCATGACGCTATTAATTCCAGTTTTGTCGACATAAAAATGCAATTTACAAATTCATCATACGGAACTAAACGATCTCGAGGAGCAGGAAGTGTAACGCTTTAGAATAACTTGAACAATAACTGTACAATATTGAACATGTCATTATTCAGACTGATTTCTCTGTTTATATTTCTTTAACAAATAAAGAGCTCAATTGAAATTAAATTGAACTCTGGGTACTAGCGAGAAACCCTCGTAAATCGCCTAGAAGATTCGACAGGTGTCCAGAAACATCAACGCATAGGCAACCACCGTTTCGCGGGTGTGCTTGAGCGATTGCGGCCTCACTGAGGAGCTTCGGTTGGCATCGGGAACGTACGAACAGTATCGAAAGCCATCTCGGCACCTTCTATAGAGGACGCGAATATTCTGGAATGTGTTGAATTCAGAATAAGTACCCAGGTGCCTCCACCAAGGGGCCAGTCAACGGGCAGCAACCGATGCATAGACCAGAAAATTGAATATGTGTCCAAGAAACATCGACACTTAGTCAACCACAGTTACGCGACGGTGCGTTAATGATTGCGGCCTCACTGAGGAGCTTTGGTCGGCATCGGGAGCTTTCGAGAAGTACTGATGGCCATCTCCATACCTTAGATAGAGCGCGCGGATATTCTGGAATATTTTGATTAAATTTAAGAACCCAGGTGCTACCACCAGCTTTAGAGTCAACGGGCAGCGACCGATACGTCAATATAGTCCAGTCGACATGATCATAAATTTGTCATAAATTAGTGTTAGAGTAATAGATTAGTGTTTGAACAGTAAAAAACGGATTATGTCTTTATATACATTTCTATTCTCTGGACATAACTACTACGATTTCATATAGGAAGAACTATTCGAAATCTTAGTGATATTATCTTATTATGGTCATTATGTTAAGTACAAATGTTGTGAGCACTTTTTGGTTAACTGTACGAGTAGCCAAGCTGAGTGACTCCAATTAGGTTAACTCTTGAGTATTTTAAGGCGCTTTTGTTATTTTTATTATCCATCCCGCTCTACAGTAACCTGTCTTTCACGAGTGCGAATATCAGTGGGCTGAACACTTCCTGTACCTCGAGGTCTATGGTGCACTTGCACAAATGTCCGGGTGTACCCGTTGACGAAATCTGTCGCGAGAAATTTGAGCTGCAAGATTTGAATTCTGTAAATCAAGATGACGTCGTACGCGAACAAAAACAAAACAACTTACTAACCACTGTAACCGTTTGCGATCGATTGCTGGTTCGATAAGAGTGACGATGACCGACGTGCTGCTGTCATGTGTGTTTTAAATATTCAATTTATTGAAACTTACTTACTGACTACACATTTTCGCTTAACTTAGCACGTTCGCTGCCAAGCAATATTTATGATTATGCCACCAAAGCCACAAAAAGAAGACCAAACAAAAAAAAAGTTCCCCTGGAGCCATTTTGTCCAGTCAAAACTTATTAGTTATGATTACGTTACCTGCAGTTAGTTTCTTTGTAGGTATCACTTTCATCTCAAAATTGTCAAATTTGTCACTCGGTCCAACAGACCGAGGCGGCGTGGAAGTAGCTTTTTTTATCATATGCGCCAACTCGGTCCATTTCTCGGTCCGCAGCGATTTTGCGCGATCGACATGTTTCTTCAATTCAGCACGTGGTGTCTATTGTCTTTCTAATTGCATTTCAGTACGTAAACACTTTCAGACGGAATAGGCGGTTATTGTTGTTATTTTTTAATGTAGTTTGTGTTTCTACAATGTCCAGAAATCGTGCTTTGACGCAGAAAGAGTTAGAAGAAGAGATAGAGCGAATTATGCAAAATCTGTCAGATGAAGCATCTGCATTAGAGGATGACGGTAAGAAACATTCTTTATTTCGTAGATCGATCGCAAAGACTTGTAAGTTTCCGCGAATAGATAGACTGCAAAAACGTACAATCCTTCATGCATTTATTATTTTATAGTATCGCAGACAGCAACTACGAACCTATTGATGATGAATCATCTGATAGTTCCGATACAAACTCTACTGCCTCCCCCATGCTTGCGCAAACCGCAGACACCAATGACGATGAGTTATCCGTTACTTCTGGTACAAATTCTCCATTACCAGGAAGTAGTGCTGCCTCCGCGCCTATGCCAAACACAGACACAGATGACGATTTAGCTGGTAACGCCGGCGCCGCCTCGGAAAATATGATATGGAGTATTCCAACAGGTAGACAACCAGTTTTATTACCCTTTACCAAACAAACTGGTACTGAACCCCATCTTGCTGAGCTTTTGCGTGAAGAACCTCTGGAAATGTTTTATTTTTCACTAATTAATGACTCTATTTTTCAATACATTGCTGACCAAACGAATCTATATGTCACGCAAGTTATTACAGATGAAGCAGATGTAAAAGGTAGGTTACATAATTGGTTCCCTACAGATAAAAATGATATCAAGAAAGTTTTTGGCTTGCTTTCGTACATGGGTATTGTAAAAATGCCTAATATACAAGCCTATTGGAGCCGAGAAGCTATGTATAAAAACTCTATGGCTTCTAAAGTAATGACACGTAATAGATTTGAGCTGTTGCTACGTATGTTGCATTTTGCAGATAATCAGGATAATCCAGATAATGATAGACTGCATAAGATTCAACCTCTGATTGACAAAATAGTGCATAATTTTAAAACATCATATGAACCTTCCGAGACTTGTTGCATTGATGAGTCCCTTATTCCATTTAGGGGAAGATTAATAATGCGACAGTACATAAGAAACAAGCGCCATAAGTATGGAATAAAGGTATTCAAATTGTGCAGCAAAGGAGCATATACCTATAACTTTAAAATTTATGCAGGAAAAAATTTAGACCAAGGTCATACTACACCCACATCTGTAGTTATGAGTCTTTTTGAGCCCATACTAGATTCGGGCCGCACTCTTGTAACAGACAACTGGTATACAAGTGTAGATTTGGCAAAAAGATTGATGGATAGGCAAACATATTTGATAGGCACATTACGAAAAAACAGACGAGGCCTTCCAAAAGACCTGGTCAACAAAAAACTTAAATGTGGAGAGATAGCCGCTCTCGAAAATCAGGACGGTGTCACAGTAATTTTCTGGAATGATAAACGCAACGTTTTAGTGCTTTCTACCAAACATAGCAACACAACAGTAGACACGACAAACCGCAGACAAAAAAATGTAAAGAAGCCTGAAGCCATTGTAGCATATAACGCAGGAAAGTCGTCGGTTGATATCTCTGATCAGATGACAGCTTATCAGACACCTTTGCGTAGAACCTTTAAGTGGTACCGTAAGTTAGCCGTAGAGATTATCCTGAATACTGCAATGGTCAATGCATGGATTATGTATAAGGGAACTGTGAATGCCAGAATTTTCTTACTTCAGTTTCGAAAAGCTGTTACATACAAGTTATGTCAAGCGCAAGACGATGGGTTAGCAGAGCAACCAGATGTTGAGATGATTCCAAAAAGAAAACGCCAAAAGCACGAAATGGGCAAAAGTGATTATAAAAAACGAAGACCTTGCAGTAGATGCTATGAAAAAGTGAGAGCCGAGAAAGGATGGAAAGAAGCACGAAAACTCACTAGAGGACGTTATTATTGTAAAGGTTGTAATGGTGAACCGTTTTTCTGCTTATCATGCTTTAATAAGTTTCATAGATATGAAACTCTTTAGATAGAAGTGTTTTTCTTACGTTTTTTATATATTATTATGTAAACTACTGGTTTTCGTTCTAGATTTTTGCAAAAATAAATGATTTATAAAGTAAATTATTGTTGTTTCTCTAACCTACCATATCCAGAAATAAAATAACCAAAATATTAAAATTCCTCAGACGCCAACTCGGTCTACAACCAGCGTTAAAGCAATGCAAAATTAAACAGCTGGCGAACGAGGATTGAATATTCGGCTCGGTCTAATCGACCGCGTTGGCGAGGCTGGCAAAATTTCTTCTCGGTCTTATGGACCATGATGGCGAATAAAACAAACACAATTTTGGTCTTATAGACCGAGTTGGCAGCGAACGTGTTAAAAAACTTAATGCCATTTATTTGTTGATTACCCAATTTAAAAACGTTCCAGATTAGATTATAAAAATTAGTAAGATTGTGGTCGATATAAGGCACTTAAAGTTGTAAACTATAAAGCCATTTAGACAAAAATCTAATGACTTTGTGCATAGGTCATATGAACTTTTTGACTTGTTCTGATCCCTCCCTTTTACCCATTTCAATAATGACGTTCACACCCTGTATGTTAGTAACAACTTATCACGTCGCGGGTAGCAGCTGGTGTAAGAAAATAGCAATAGTGTCGCAGAAACCCAAACTAGGCAACTCGTGCAAACCACGGATATTAAGCTCATTTTCCATCAAAGCTGAAATCCCTGAATAATTACATGGAACGTCTGAGTTGTACAAACTCCGTTTTTATTCACCAACTTCCGTCCCAGTATTAACGTTTAATTCGCAATTTAAACAGCATATTAGCTTAGCCATTTTCTACTTTAATTCCAAACGTTGGAAGTAAAAGCATGTACAAACACTAACTAGAAAAAAAACTTAAAAGTTAGGAAGCATTTTCCGTTTAATAACAAGCGTAGGTGGGTGATAAAGTTTAATTTTCAGATTGCACTCTAGGACTTCATGCAATTAAAGGACTTTGTAGGCCATTTTTGGTCGTCAACAGAATGGAACCTGCGCCTAAGGCGAAAAAATTACAATATTTGTATACAGGGTTATCCAAATTAAGTGTCCACCATTAGTAACTTTGTTATTAGTGAAAATACAAAGTTGTTTGAATTAGCAAACTTGTAGCATTTTTAACGCTGGTAAAAATGGGAAATAAAAAAAAACAATTGAGAGTCGTTATTTTGATTTTTTTCAGTAAAATAACATTTTTTTAAATGGAAACCCCTGTATATTATATTTTTTTCTGTTAAAGCATCAAATTTTAAACAAAAAAGTTCATAATGACTTTTCCGCTAAAGTCAAAAATAAAGTCAAAATAACGATAAATATTTTTAATTATTTGCAGTATTATAATATTAAGACGGCTATGAAAACAACATGGCGTTCGCGATTTGACAGCATTAAGATAAGCGACAAATTGTTAAACTGGACATACTCGCAACTAGAAGGCTTTGGAAAACAATGATAAAATCAAATAATGTCAAACATTAGTGTAAATACTTGTTTATAAGCTTTATTGTGTCATTAATTTAAAGAAAAATGTTCTCCCATGAAGAAAAGTGTGATATGTTAGAATGCTATTTAGTGTGCAGAAAATCCTCCTTGAGAGCAAGAGAATACTACAGTGAATTATATCCCGCTCGCATTCAACCGTATGAACGATATTTTCTGAGACTTTATCGAAAATTTAGGGGCAACGAAAATGTTTTTGCTAAAACAAGGGCAAAAAAAGAATTCATAATAAGCGAGGCCACGGAAATTGCAGTTATTGGATATTTTGAAGCTTATCGTGAGAATTCAATAGCAGATATTCTCAAGGACTCTAATTTCAGTTATGGTACTGTTCAAAGGATTTTAAAAAAATACAAATTTATTCCGTATAAGTACCGACCAGTTCAAACGCTTTTGGCAGGGGATCCAGAGAGAAGACTTGTTTTTTGCCATTGGTATCTTAGCTTCTGTCGCCAAAATGTAAATAACTTTCGTTACCTTTTATGGACAGATGAATCAAATTTTTCAAATTCTGGAATGTTTAATAGAAAAAACCACCATTATTGGTCAAGAGAAAATCTTTTGTTAGTACATCCAAGAGGCCCACAAGTCCGTTTCAGTTTCAACGTTTGGTGCGGTATAATTGGTTCAAAAATTGTTGGCCCGTTCTTTTATGAGGGAACCCTAACTGGTGAAAGATATGTGGAATTTATGTCAGAAATTCTGACTAATTTCTTAGACGAATTGGATCTTATAAGTAGACATCATCTGCATTTTCAGCAAGATGGCGCACCTGCCCACAACTCCAGAGGTACTTATCATTTTCTAAGTACTACTTTTAATGATCAGTGGATAGGAACAAATGGTCCAATACAGTGGCCTCCCAGATCACCAGATCTAAACCCACTTGATTACTTCTTGTGGGGTTACTTAAAGAACCAAATTTACAAGCGAAGGTACGATAACCTTGACGCGTTAAAGACTGCAGTTAGGGAAAAGATAACCCAGATAGATGGTAGGACCATACTTAAGACAGTTCGAGCAGTTGGAAAACGTGCCCAAAAATGTATTGAAGAACAAGGTGGTGTTTTCGAGCATCTTCTTTAAAAAAAATTGTTATTGTATTTTGTAAGATTATAAGTTGATATTGAAAATAAAGTTTGTTGATACAATTTAATTGTTTCAGATTGGAGGCCATAACTTCAACAATTTGTAACCTAGGAGAAAAGTTATTGTAAGCTTTTTTGTTTAAAATTTGATGCTTTAACAGAAAAAAATATAATATACAGGGGTTTCCATTTAAAAAAATGTTATTTTACTGAAAAAAATCAAAATAACGACTCTCAATTGTTTTTTTTTATTTCTCATTTTTACCAGCATTAAAAATGCTACTAGTTTGCTAATTCAAACAACTTTGTATTTTCACTAATAACAAAGTTACTAATGGTGGACAATTAATTTGGATAACCCTGTATATGCATAAGCACTGTTCTCACCAAAGGCAAGATTTCAATTCTCGTCTTAAGATTGTGAAAAACATCGCCAAGTATATACTGGGTGTCCCTCTATAAATTGGCCCTCCTCTTAAGGTATACAGGGTGAGCTTTTAGTGTATGGTCGGTTATTGCGCATGGTGTCTAAAAAGGTTAATTACAAAAATTGTAACCGACACTATGCATGATGAATATTTTTATTTATACAGTGTGATACTTAAGTACCTGGGGGCACATACATTTTTTTAATTGAAAAGACCTATGGTATATTGCAGATTCAGGTAGACCCTTTCAAATGAAGCATTTTGATGTAACAACATACTATAGGGATTTATTTCTACATTGTTGAAATATTTGGCAATCCTTCGAAAAAACACAACTTTGACAACATACTGTTACAGGTAGTATTCTGAGTTCTTTGTCAGAAAAATGTTATGGTCCCAATTTTTGTCTACCTACTCAGTGTTTCAGTTTTTCCGATAGACTGTACA